TTTTATATCAAGTCTTTCCATTGCTGAGTTGTCATGCATAAAGTTAATTACATTGTGGATCTGTTTAGCATAGTTATCGCAATAAAGGTGATACCTGAATTGGACTCACTGTAAAAATGTGATGGATTTACTATACCAATAGTTTGCCATAGACGAAGGCCTCTTAGATAAGTGTATACATGTTTTGTTGACTTCTGAGCATGGTATGTTAAGAAGGCTGCTGTGGCCAGACAACATAACAGCACTGAAAGCCAGGTGGAAATTTTGTGAGTACCTTCTGAAGAAGTGACTGCCGAAAATTCTGTGATTCTGTGAAAAGAAAGAGCAGAGATGCATAGGATAGGGAGCATGGCGTTGAAATGTGTTGGAAGGAAAGCAAAGTCTGGCTTAAATGATTCCACATCTGGCAGAATAGTGGAAACCATTAATAAGTTGTAATATCTTTGCATTTGCCTGAGCTCATGAAGAGAGAGAAGCTGGCTTATGATTATGCATTGAAAACAATCATGCAGATCACATCCCTTGGCTTGCTGGAAGGGTGGTATGTTGGGTTTTTTCCAGGTAAAAAAGATTTCAGACAACCAAATATGAAAGTGTCATGAATCTTAACTGCTTATTTCAATCTCCTTTTATAGGCAGATGGACCTTTGAAAAAAAAAAAACGTAGCTGTAAGTTGGCAGCAGAAAGCTTGACTGTGTGAAGCAGAAAGCTTGACTGTGTGGGTTTTTTGAATATGCGTAATTCTGTATCCAAGCTCAGTCAGGAAAGCTAGGGGACAGATGCCAGCAACATTTTATCCTAGAAAGGGAAAAAAAAAAAAACAACCAAAAAAGTGTGTGGGATGTTGAGGATTTTTTCCTTGAACTGCATGATGTAGAAATGAGGACTGTAGAGCCCAGAAAGGACTTGCCTTCAAACTGAACAAAGCAACGCAGCCAGATGTTTGCAGGTATTTTGAAAATGGCTGTTGCAGTCATTGTCATGCTTTGCAAATAACCAGAGGTCTGAAATGGCTACACTGAGGTGGATTTTTCCCAAGCATGACAAACCCAGGGAGAGTTTACAGGGGTGCTGGTGTGCAAGAGCTGCTTGTGAGATAGCTTTGGGCTATAAAGGACAATTCTTTAATTATATAGGGAAAAATCTTTTGGGAAAGAAGAGTAAAGGGCTTGGGGGTGACCTGAAGAAAAGCAAAGCAGTAGAAGTCAGTTGGCTGAGAGAGAATGGGCAACATGTATTTGTGATAAAAAGCGTATCATTCAGTTTGTGATTCAAAACTGAAATTTTCTTTAGTCGAGTAGTTAAAGTGAGATGATGCAGACACATAAGAGAACTGAACATATTTTCCGTATAAAGTAGACTCTCATAGGTAGAAATATGGGTTTAACTCTTAATATAGCTTAAACACTTGAAAGACTGGAAAGCTTTGTGGGCCGTTTGCTTGAAAACTGTTTAAGCACGCTTTGAAGCATTGAGATCAGCAGGCATAGGTCTGCCTACTTAGGGCAGGGGAACTTGAGATACCAGAGAGCAACTGCAAAAAGGTAGGCAGAAAGTTGCTGGTCTTTTGTTACAAAAGATCAGGACTGTTCTCTGAAAATAATTAAGATACCTACTAGGTATGTATATAACCTTTCCAACATGGAAAGAAGCCAAGATGACCTCTTACATGCTTGCTACTAATGATGGAATTTTTCTTTTGCTTGGAATCCTTCTGTTATCTCAAATTATAGACTGTTATCCTTACTGCTATTTGATTTTAAAAATATATACTTGGATGGCTAAAAATACTGCCGCTTCAAAGCAAGGAAGAGATGCATCAGTTTCCAGCCTTTCTTAATTCAAACCTTTCCTGGTATTCCTAATTTACCCATAAAACTTTGCCTTCAGAGGGAGTTTGGTTTTAGTCAGGTGAGCAGATTTATGTGCCAGTCAACCCTGGTGCGCTCCTAATGAAACTGCATGTCCCAGAAGGCTGAGAAGGCAGTGGGATGAGTGAATCCTGTCTGCCAGGGGGATACGGGATGTAAATTTGAGCCTCAAGGTTACAGTACCAGCATAAATATAGCTACTGAGCAGCATAACAGATCCCTTTCACACACAGTGACTGAAGTTCTAGCAGGCATAAAGTCAGTGTTTTTATTCATTCCCATTTATATATCTTGGGTATTTTTAAAGGATGATGCTTCTGTGATTTATTTAACTTTCTTTGGAAGTTCAGTTGTGTAAACCTGGGGCCTGAGTAGGGCTTCATGCAGATGTGCAGTTGACACTATATAATTGACTTTCAAGATAGAGGCCCCTGGAGTGAGGGGCAGTGACTTATGTGAATGTAGGACATTCTGCTCATGCAAACAGCTAAGTCTGTGAGTTCTAAGCATTATGGATATAAAAATAGTTGCCCAAGAAAAGTTAACCTTCTGAGGAACTCTGCTCTTCTGAGGGCCTTTTAAAGCTGACTCTGCCATTGTACTGATGACAGTGACAGGCCTCTGAAAACCAGAAACTACATGAATTACCCTAATGGGGGATTATGCTCCTGCTTAGGAATCTATTTAATGGTCACTGATCTTTATATTTGCAAACAGAAAGAATCTTATTTTAATGATATGGTAATAACTTAACTTGTGCTGGTCATTTGCTCAAAAACATGACTTTACTTAACTCAAGCGACTTCAGATACACACAGAATGGAATTTTACACATGTTGGACAGAAATAAGAGAATCAAGCCACGACCAGAAAGATTCCAGAACTGCAAAGATATTTTTGACTTGATCCTAACATGTGAAGAAAGAGTCTATGATCAAGTAGTAGAAGGTAAGGACCTTGAACTGATAAACCAAGTTACCTTTGAGTGCTTTTTTTTCCCCTCCCCCCTGAAGTCCTTCACAAATCTGGAAACGCCTCTGTCTCCTCTGACTAGTGCTGCTGGAACACCAGCAGGGACAAGAGCTCGCATTGACATAGAGTTTATGGACCAGAGAAGTGATGGCTGAATATTTATTGCTAAAAGATGCTTGTGTTGGCAGCTACACAGAATGTGTCTGTTTAGCAATTTTAAGGGCTGACACAAGGAAATAGCAAGCATTTGGAGAAATTGGAGAAATTTGGAGAAAAAAAATACTCATGGATCTAGAAAACTAGCAAGTTGCATGTCATGAGCATTTTTCCCCCTTGGGTTGATGGAGAAACAAAGTCTTAAGCTGTCTTCCTTATGCTACTTCCCTTCCCTTTGCAGAAGACTTCCTGTGACCTACCAAGCAGTTTATCTGCAATAAATACCTCCTGTACAGGTGGAGAAACTGTTCTTGAGCATGGTTAACACTCATGCTACGGCTTTGCTCTTGAGTGAGTCAGTGAGATGCCAGAAGAATCTCAGTTGGGGATGGGTTCTGCATCAACACAATGCAGCAGGCTTGATGTGGACTCACTGAAAGTCGTGGGGTTTGAGCAATGACTCAGCTGCTGGGCCGAGAACCCTGCCTATCCCTGGAAATGCTAGGTACAGGCTTATCTGAGGCTTAAGGTGTTTCCTTTATGTTGAAAGACCAACCAGCTGAATTAGTATATCACACACAATTTAAAAGGCTGTTGCCTCGCCTTTTCAGTCCTTGGTGGTCATGTCACAAGTAATACAGAGCACGATACATTTGGGCTTCTGCAAGCTGCGCAATTAGCGTTCTGAATCTTTCAGTGAAATGTTTGAAATGTAGTGGTAAGTTCTGAGAGCAGCTGCCCTGGTACTTGAATGGATCTTCAGCAAATTTAGCACCTCGCATAGAAAGCAGCTTTCACTCTGATGTTTTAGGTGGGCTTCTGAGGAAGGGAGCTGAAGAGCCAACCCCTTGCTAATTTTCCAGTTGTGCATCTCTTGTAACTTCAGGGTAATGCTCATCATAATTAACCAATGAAAGGAAGAAGGCTTGAGTGCCACCAAATAGTTCTAGATGTGAAAGCTGAAATTTTAAAATGGAGGCCTCAACAGGTTTGCCAAAATGAAGTTGTGGAATGGGGTTAAGAGAAAACAACTCGTAGGTTGAAAACTGTGTGTGTAATAGGAAGGCTATGTTAGAGATGCATAGCAATACGTGGGTGGATTAGTAGGAAAAGGGCATTTTATTTTCCCCCTTCACCCCCTGTTAATAAGTGGAACACATTAAAGCTAGAATTTTCTAATGTGATTATCAGTGCTTAACTTGTAGGAGTTCACCTTGCAGTTTAATTTTCAGAGTGCTGGATGTACAGTGCTTTTTTTTTTAAAAATGGGCAATTAAAACTCCCTGTATGAGGAAGCCCAAAATCATTCTGGACTTTTGAGAATCTTGATCTTGGTCTTTAAAGACGGTCAGAGTAAGGTGAGCAGTAACTTTTCTTGACCAGGGCAAATAAACTGTCATGACCCTTCCACATAACTGAATTCTTTTGTTTCCAAAATCTCTCTCTCTCTCATTTTTGAAATAGGACGGACTATTGTTTAAGCAGTGTTAAATAAACAATTTCCTAAAATCAGGCTTGGAGAAGGCAGAGGTGGACAATGCCTGTGTATTTTTAAAAATCCTATGAATACTCTGTGTAAAATATGATACCATTCCACCCAAAGTTTTGCTGTTGTGTGTGTTTTGTTTTCAATTAGATTTAAATTCCAGAGAACAGGAGACATGTCAGCCAGTACATGTGATCAATGTGGACATTCAGGATAACCATGAGGAGGCAACCCTGGGTGCTTTCCTTATCTGTGAGCTCTGCCAGTGTGTAAGTAGAGAGGGCTCATTGCCTGTGGGTACCCTGGACCCAGCTGACTGCCCAGGGGTTGGGGTTTGCTTTGTACTCCTTCAAGGTGCTGCATATTGCAAAAGTTGTTTAAGTAAAATCCATGTCAGGAGACGTTAGGTTTCCAAATGCTTGTGGTTATTTTTGGAGCTGTTGTGCAAACAGATGAATTGCAACTGCATTCATGTTTTCCAAAGTGGTCTCCCCGTCTGTGCATTCAAAACCAATGCATTGACAGCTTACGTGCAAAGCACCACCCATAACCACTGCACGTGTTGAGCCCATACGCAAACCACTGTTGATCGCAAAAACGTCCATTTAAAAGTTGTAATATGTGGGATTTAAATATCAGAGTTGCATTCTGGATCACGAAAAACATCCTGTATAGGTGTATTTCATAGTACCACCCTGTTGTGTGTCTGATGTGGAAGAAAGAACTGGTGCCTTCTGTTGTTCATATTCAGAGGCCCTAGCCCTTGAAGTAAGACTGAAATAAGCTGCACTTAAACCAGTCAGTGTTACTGTCAAGAGAACACAGAAAGGTTCTGTGTCCTTTTACAGTGTGCAAGTCGATGAGTTTACCTATTCCAGTGTGGCAACAGGCTTTCTTTTTTACTCTAGCCTGTGTGATCTATTCTGGTCTTAAATCCTTTCCAGATTCGAAAAGCCTAAGAGGGTTCAAGGACTTGAAATTTTAGCCATCTGTTCAGTGTGCTTGTAGCTATTCTGAAGCTTCCATTTGTTACCTAGTGAGGATGGATGTTGCCTACTCAACAAAGTACTAGTTAAGTGCCAGTTCAGTGGGTTGGAGAAGGAAGGATATGCAGATAAACATGATGCGGAATATATATACATTTGGGAATGCTGGGAGTCTCAATAAAGCACCCAGCGCTGTGCTATTTGGTACAGCCTGCTGGTTTAGATTTTGCAGTAAGCCAAAAGCATGGAATTATTACAGTTTTCTAAACTGCATCATATCCTTGGAGTCCGGTTGCTTAGTATTTTTTTTCTCTTCTAGATACAGCACACAGAAGACATGGAAAATGAAATAGATGAGCTGTTACAGGAATTTGAAGAGAAAAGTGGAAGGACTTTTCTTCATACTGTCTGCTTTTATTAAAGCACATCTGTCTCCTAGGCCTTACTACAGATGAGGGAAGCATGTGTTCAAAGTTCTGATTATACTGTATTTTCCTGGGAAATGAATATTGATTTTTTTGTTTGTTTGTTTAAAAACTCCTTTTCAGTGTCTTTTTGTTTTGTTTCAGGTATTCTGTCACAGGTAGGCAGAGATACTGGTTGGGGTTGTACATATGAGATGATTAAAAGTATACACAAAGGCCACCTATTTAAAAATTAAAATCAAGATTTTCTTTAAATCCTACTTTAATTATTACAAGTAGGTCTTTAATTATAAAGAGAATGTTTCTTGAATATAAGTTTATAATGTATTTTTCCAGCTTACAAATTTATTTTATTTCAGTTGCGCTTTTTTTTATTTTAATGTGACAGAATGGCTGAACTACGTGAGGATATGAATGGAACAATGAAAAACGAGTATCTGTATATTATTAGATATAAGGTTGGAAGCATCCAATAAAAACAAAAAACCTGTAAGTTTGTCTGTTTTCAAAATAGAAGCTAAGCAAGTGTGACTGTGCTCTGTGAGGTAAAACACAAAGGACGTGAAGTAGCACAAGAGGATAGTAACAGCCAGAAGATCTTGATAAGAATCAAAAGACCTGAACTGCGTCCCTTGTTGAGAGAGGCTGCGTATTTGGGCAGCTCATCGTGAGTTTTGATCCCGTCTTGAACTAAGGTGAACTTCTTTCTCTGCATGGATTAGGGCACTGCCAAGAAATCTTTTGGGGTCTCAACTGCTTGTCACAGCTCAAAATCCAGAAACTCAGTATGTGTATACAAACAGAGCAAAAGCTTGGACTTCTCTTTGTTCAAACTGATAAAAGTTACGAGTTAAACCAGATTATTAGACATTCAAAATGGGAATGGTAAAGCGCTGCTGCTTACAGGCAAAAGATCATCTTAAAAGTTGTTTTGTTAAAGGAACCTGTAAAGGATTTGGAGCAAATGAGGTCTGTGTGCTCTTTAATACTTGGATATGTGAGGACAACTTTGCAAAACGTAATGTTAAAAGTGAAATAGCATGAAATGGGGTTTCAGCTCCTGGCTTCTCTCTCACATTCCATCACTGACCTCTGACAGCTCACCTGGATCATCTAATTTTTCATAACTTTAATCTTTTTGCACCTGCTAAGTACTTTCTCTTGATGTAGGGCAATGTTACCCATCCATGCAGACAACTTCGGCTGTGTCTGTAGTCAGTCCTATGGGAACGCTACTTCTTTCCGTGAACACACTCGCATATATTAAAAGGCATCTGCTCCACACCTCAAAACTGCAAGTCCGTATCTGAAAATACTTCTTTGCAGTTGCAAATCTTGCAGTCTGTTGAGTCAGGCCCCTCTCTCTGCTCCTCAGATTTGGGGGTTGGCTGGGGTTTCAGCTGCCTTGTGGGAAAATGTAGACCTCTGCCAGCTCAGTCTGTGTCCTGGAAGGTGTCCAAATGGGTCACTGCATCATGCTCCGGTCCTGGGAATGTTTAATATCCCTGAGTTACCTGTGCTGATTTTCTTGTCTGTTAAAAATACTTAAAGCAAAAATTTGGTGGATAATGAATAAATAGGTCGGAACAACTAGGGGATGGGGAGTTCCAGCAGCAGTTGTGGTAAGGTTTGCGGAGTGTATGTTTGCTGATTGGTTTGTCCTGTCCCACTTGGTTTCTGGAGACTCTGTATTTGAAGGATTTCACTCAGCCTCCTCTGCTTCTGCTCATTTGTCTGCCTGATACCATCGCTTGTTACCATGGGGATATTTACAGCCAAAGGAAGATGATTCTGTAAGGACTGAACTGCTTTAGTTGATCTCTTTAAAAAGGCATTTCAAACAAGCATGGTACTGAGCATTTTGAGCAGGGTTTTCCTTCCCTATACAGTGTCAGTACCGTGGCAAGGTGAAACTCGGAGAGTGTTTGAAAATGTTTTCCACTTTCAACTTAATTCATCCTAAACAGAGCTCTTTGTTGTTATTTTACAGAAAGGCAGTAAAAACCCAAACAGGATGTTTCAGCCCGTGTTTTGTGCCTATGTGGAGACGTACAGAAGCATCCTTTTTATTACATAAAGGTTACACTTTTCATGTGCATAATTGGCAGAGAATTCTGGTTGCTGTCGTGTTGAGTATGGATTCATTAACAGAACTTCAGTTCACTGCACCTCTCCAGCTGAAATGGTCTAAACCCATGACATAGTGTACAGGACGTCACAGAATTGTTCTTTCCATCCTGAACATTCTGTTCATAAGCCAAAGCAACACTGGGAGCTGGTCATTTGTCATTTGTTTATTTTCCAGTGCGTGGAAGGATGTTTGACTGCATGGATGACTGACCCGGGTGGACAGGCAAGTATTCTGAGTGATCCACGGTCCAGTTCGAAGTATTCACATTTCTGTGAGCAAAACTGGTTCATCAGCTAAAGCTGTTCTTGCTCTGACACGTTACCTCTCATTTAACCTACAGGTTAGTGAAAAATGTATGCATTTATGTAGCTACTTTGTCCCCGTATGCATTGAAATCCAGAATGAAGCTCGGTTTATACAGGAATTTTATGGGGTCCTAGTCTTGTTTGAGAGAGACACATATTTATACGCACAAATACATATGTAGGTATAAAATAAGCTTAGGCTAAACTCAAGGTCAAAGTTATTTTATGTGTCCAAAAAAAATTTCGAGAAACATTGGTTTAAAGGAAATGGGAAAAATAATGTATTTTTCCTTTAAGAGTGGGGCGGCACGTATATGCTGATGGTGTGCTCCTCCCTGCCTTGTAGATGCAGTGGTGCTCCCCTTGATGAGTACCAGTGCCAAAAGAGGGGCCCTTTCTTTTTAAGTCCTGTAGTTGGCCGCCTTCCTGGCTAATGAAGGAAAGCAATGAAGGGTTAACACCTCGTGAATACAGACTGCGAGTATTCGGGATTGGGCTGCGATGGGAGAAATCTGCTGTAAATGAGAGTTTTCAGCTATCTGGGCTGTTCTCCCAGTTTCCATAAGGCCAGCAGAGATGGCTTTAAAACGCAGATTCCTCCCAGAGGTGTCCCTGTACACCCCCCCCACTTTCTAAATGCAGTGATTATGGTTTGTCAGTGTTTCTCTCACTTTTTGACTTTCTATGAAAGGCCATATTGATTAAAGAGTGGTATCTGTTGAAGTGCGTTGGTACGATTTTGCTCTCTCGCTGCCACGAAGTTGATGCTGCTTCCTGTGTGGGCAGATCTTCGCCAAGAACTTCTCGAGGTTTCCATCTCTCGCGTCTCAGCCCGCTGCAGATCCTATCTATGAGGCACAGAGCAGCAGAGCCCTCTTCGCTCTAGTTTGCAGTCTGCTTTTCTCTCACACAAGTCACTTCTGATTTTGTGCCTGTTTTCGGTGTTTCTTGTCTTGCATAAGGCCTTCAAAACATTCGTGAACGTTCTTTCTGTCAGAGACATCAGCACATCTTCCGACTGGTGATGAAAGAGCGATGCCTTTTCTCCCCTCTGCACTGCTGGTGTCTTGTCCCCAAAGTTCTCTGCTTGCTGGCTTCCTTCGCTTGCCTGTGAAGCTCAGTGCACACAGTAATGCAGATAACGCAACCGGAGTGCGTACGGTGGAAAAGAGCATTCTTCCCTAGGTTTCAATATTGCTGGATCTGACTGCAAAGATCGATGATCCGAGCTGGATTTCCCCAATGCAGCAGCGCGGTGAATTTGTTGCTAGGCAGATTATCCAGCTTCAACTTCTCTTCCTCATACGTGGGGGAGCTTAGGAGAAGGTATCAATAAAGGCAAACACAAACGGTTGTACCAGCACAGGAACTGTGAAAAGAACAGGGGAACAAAAAAGTCACTGGAGTAGAGGGAGGGTATAGGACAGCAGAGTGGGTTCTTATGGAAGAAAAAAAATTAAAAAGCAAAAAAAGGAGAGAATTGCTGTCTCTGGTTTTTTGTTAGACTCTTCTATAAATTCTGACTTGGGTGAGCACTGCAGAATGCCAGCTGAGGTCTGTGCTCCCTTCAAGCGGAAGGCAGAGGGAGTCAGCTCCTGGGAACGTGGCTTGTGGTAATATTCTTACCTTGAGCTGCGTGCACACAGGGCAAGAAAAACCTGAGGTTGTTCCCATACAGATATTTCTGGTCTTTTTGACCATCTTAGCCAGTATCGCTGGGGTTTAAGAAACATTTAATGAGGAGGGAAGGATACGTTGGCAGTATGCCCTCAGGTGGTGAGGACTAAAGCAGGCTGGGTGACAGTAGCGGGTTAAAACAAAGGCAAAGGCAGTGGTCGCTTGGTTAGGGAGAGGCCAAGCGCTGCTGAGGTCTTGCAGTGCACACTACAGACTTGTCCGTGCGAGGATTGTGGTGCTGGTGCAACAAGAGGCTGGAAGCTGGACAGGAGCCATAGGTAGTGTGGATGCTTGTTTTCAAAAAGGAGCAGCTTATTCCTAGCAGCATTAAAGTGATTAGGAACCAGTTTAACAAACCCCTTGTAAACGATCGCGGTGGCGACCCAAAACTCTCTACGCGTCTGTTAGCACCTACGTTAAAAAGACAGTCTGCACTCATACGAGTATGATGTCACTTGGCTCAAATACAGGCAGTCCCTTCTGCCTCTTTTCATTAGATGGAAGTCACCAGAGAAACTCTTCATGGCCTTACTCCTCCCAGACGTGCAGATGAAAGGCCAGGCTGGCTGAGCACCGTGCACGGCTGCGGGTTGTTCCTGGGTCTCCAGCTAACCAGGCGGTGAGCGGCCACGATTCCCTGTGCGCCAGCACCGAAGGGGACAGAAAGGTTGCTGTTGGTTTGTTTCTCCACGAACAGGCAGCCTGTTTGTCGGCCAGGGTTCGTCGCCTGCCGTGGCAGTGCAGAACTCATCGTTTTCACCACAGGTTGCTGTGAAGAGCTGCTGCTTGGAAAACGCACTAAGAGTCTGTACCGAGGCTAGGGAGCAAACCTAGATGTGGTGGGGTCAAGAGGCTGGGACAAGACAAGCTTTACGGGGTCTAGCCACGGCTGGACACGCTGAAAATGGGCCAGCGAGAGCCATGAGGAAGCCTGTTTGACTGACAGGCTGCGGCAAAGTGAGCGTGAGCCATCCCCGGCTGCAGAATCGCCCATGTCAGGTGGTGCTCCTGCCGACTGGAGGATGAAGTGGAGAGAGGAGATGGAATTTCTAATATAATTCAGTGCCACAGAAGATCATTGACTCAAACGTTCTGCGGGGCGACTGGATTTAATAAAGACTGCGATAATTTCATGGCTGCTACCCACGTTTGCAGCCCTGCAAGCCTGTCAGATTTAGTGAATCCTGTACGCGAGGCAGTGCCAGTGGGTTCGAGAAAGGATTCTTGCACTACCCGGTACGTCAGCACCTTCTGCCCAGGGCAAGGAAGGAGTTTGTTGCCCGTCAGGCACTGCCCTATAGCCGACAGCGGGAGGTAAAGGGCACTGGGTGCAGCTGGGCCTGCAGCGTACACCGAACAAAATGATCGGTGCGGTGACGTTTGGAATCCCCATCAGCCAGGAGTTTTGCTCCAAAAGGACAAGAAGGGGAGACTGCTCCTCCGGAGCCGTACTGAGAAACCCAGCTTACGCCTGAGCCAAAGACAAAAATCTTTCTTCGGTGCCACAAGCCCAGCTGAGAGCTGACCCAGCCTGGTTTGTGGGGCGGCTGGGAGGTCAGAAACGTGGGCTGACGGCCAGGGAAAACTTCTGTTACGCAAAATGCCTCGAGACTTGTCTTCAAACTGTCCTCTCCTGTGATTTTATTTGGCTGTTACTTCAAAAATGCGTATGTTTTCTACAACTCGCCGAGTTCCTAGCTGCATGATCTCCGAGGTCTCCGTACAGGTGGTGGAAACCACCTCCCAGCTCGGTAAGAAGCGAAGGCAGCTCCGGGCAGAGGGGCTGTTGAGGAGGGAACCCAATGGGTTGGGCAGGTCTGCGGTGAGAGGCGCCTTCCCTTCCCAGCCTTGCTGCTCTTTCGCATGAAGTGCCTGGCTTGTGGAACGCTTCATGGGTGTGGTTTAATTTAAAAAAAAAAAAAAAAAAAATCTGCAATGCAATCTGTGCTCTAATTTGAGGACACCATTTAGTGATTTTAATTGTGTGGCAGTATTTTGGTATTTTCAATACCCAGTAGTAGGTTAATGACTGTTCCTTGAAGAATGGAGTTTATATAACACAAGTCATTACATAAGGAAGCTGATTGTGGCCTGAGGAACAGAAGGAAAACAAATATGCAAGAATGCAAACCCCAGAACAAGCAAACTCTACTTTGATGGCCCTGAGAAGCCTAAAAAACAAAAGATCCTTCGGTTCCAGCAAGGTGAGACTGACCTTGAGGAAGGCCGAGGACTTGGAGGCGAAAGCGCTGCACGACGCGACGTACCAGCCATCAAGCTATGTGCTGCCACGCATTTCCCACGTGGTGGCTGTAATCTCTTCCGTTCATCCCGAGTGCGCCGTTTACGTTAAAAAGAGCAACAAACAACCAAGCAAGCAAAAAGTTATTGGCTGGTCACTTATTTTCTTTTTTTTCCCAGAAGCTCCTAAACGCGGCCTGAGTTGGACTGACCAAATAGCATGGTGAAATAAAACTGCGGGAGAACCTGGAGCGCGACCTTTTGCGTGGACCTGAGATCTCAGGTTTGATAGACGGGACAAAGTCGGGTAATTTTATTTCTGGCACACAAGTGAGTTGGGGCTCCTCTGTCTGCATCACCCCAGCTTTTCTTAGGGGGCTGAATCCCAGGGAGATGCTTGGCAGAGGTGGGAATTGCCCCTGGCCCTGGTGCCAGCGTGCTCGAAGAAGGGCTGGGTGCCCGCGGCCGGGTTCAGGGGCCCCTTCAGGCATCTCCCCCAGAAAGGGGCCCAGCAGGACCCCGACCGGCCCGGGGCAAAGGGCTGGGGACCCCCAGGAGTCCGGGTGGGAC